TATATATAAAACCCCACACACCAATAGTGGAAGACTTCAACACTCCACTCTTACCACTAGACAGGTCAGTCAGACAAAAAATGAACAGAGAAATAAGGGAACTAACAGATATTATGAATCAAATGGACTTAACAGACATCTATAGAATATTCCATCCAAACAGAAAAGAATATACCTTCTTTTCAGCACCTCATGGAACCTTCTCAAAAACTGATCACATACGAGGTAACTAAGCAAACACCAACAGATACAAAACAAAAATTGGAATAACCCCATGTATCTTAGTGGATCACCATGGCTTAAAATTAGAATTCAACAGCAACACTTATTTCAGAAAGCCCACAAACACATGGAAATTAAACAATGCTCACCTGAATCATCAATGGGCCAAGGAAGAAATAAAGGAAAAAATTAAAGACTTCCTAAAATTCAGTGAAAATGACCACACAGCATACCCAAATTTATGGGACACAATGAAAGCACTCTTAAGAGGAAAGTTCATAGCACTAAATGCCTACATAAAGAAGCTGGAAAAATATCACACTAGTGATTTAACAAAAAACCTGAAAATTCCAGAACAAAAGGAAGCAAACTCACCCAGGAGGACTAGATGGCAGGAAATAATCAAATTGAGGGTTAAAATCAACAAAATAGAAACAAAGAAAACAATCCAAAGAATCAATGAAACAAAAAGTTGGATCTTCGAGAAAATCAACAAAATAGACAAACCTTTATCCAAACAAACAAAGAGAAAGAGAGAGAGAGAGAGAGAGAGAGAGAGCAGAAATGAAAAAGAGAACATAACAACAGACACGGAGGAAATACAGAGGACCATCAGGTCATATTTTGAAGGACTGTACTCCCCCAAGATGGAAAACTTAAAGAAAATGGACAATTTTCTGGATAAATATCACCAAAATTAAATGAAGACCTGTTTTAGGAGGCCACTTGTTTGTTCCTGGCTGTTCAGCCCTGAAATAACCACATAGAAACCATATTATTTACAATACTGTTTGGCCAATAGCTTAAGCATGTTTCTGGCTAACTCTTATATCCTAAACTAACCCGTCTCCATTAATCTGTGCATTACCATGTGGCTGTGGCTTACGAGCAAAGTTTCGGCATGTCTGTCTCTAGTGGCAGCTCCATGGCTTCTCCCTGACTCCACCTTTTTTTCCCCAGCATTCAGTTTAATTTCTCTGCCTAGCTCTGTTGAACCTATCAGCTCAATGATAGGTTCACAGCATACAGAGGGAAATCCCACATCAAAGAACAGATAAGAAAATTAAACAGACCTATAGCT